ATTAGTTGGGAATCGACATGAAATTCAGTATGATATGAAAACATACATTTCTCATTGGGGAAGTTAATAGTAGATTATTGTTTATTTGAGCTTTGATTATTTGATTTTTAATTGTTGAGCCTTGTCTTATATTAATTTGTTGGCAGAATAAATAAATTAAAATGAAGCAAGGCGTTTTTTTTACATAGGTTAAGGCAGATAGTAAATTCATATACAAATAATATTTAATTTATTTACTATTATTTGTCCTTATAAACTAGGTTCGAAGGATGGTTTGACTGTAATCGTACTAGTTCATAAACGTGGTTACCCCCGAGCTTAATTCGCTCTGTAATCACGCTCGCATGTCGAATTACTCGTATCTTGAAGCAATTTTTTTTTATATAAATACATTGAAATGCGATTAATTTGTTCCAGCATAGTGTTTTTTGATTATAAAAATAAATGAAACTTGATTGCTAAGATCAAATAACATTCACAAAAAACGTAGCAAAAATGACTAAATCATCATTATGCTAGTTTTTACGTTAAGAAAAACTGACCAATGAGCATTTTTTTCAACTTATTATAGTATTGCGAAAATAAGATAGACCTGTTTCGTCAAACAACTATATAATATCTTTTCAACTTTGTCCGATATTGTACGAACAAATGCACAACATCAATATTGTTGAATTAAAAATTTTAACTTTAAATAATTTAAATAAAATATTTGTATGACAGTTACAACTAAAACTTGTTACAATTGATTTAGATCATGGTGTTCCATTGGTTCCCAAACTTGTTTGTGTTGAGGACTCCTCAGGCTTTAACATGGACCCCTACTTAGCCGATGTCGTTTTTTTATAAATTTCTATTTGTACTAACGTTTAGTATTAAACTTTTAAAGTATGGATTCAAATACAAGTTAGACATTAATCAATTGACATTAAAATAATAATGAAAAATAGATATTAACAAGGTATGTTGTGAAGTTGTAATCCACTATCGTGGTAGTAAAAACCAATATGGACTTATGGCATAGAATTATGGGGCTGTGCGAGCCATAGTGCTAATGTGACGTGCCCAATCGAACATATTAAGGCAAGATTACTGATGCTTCGTGATTCGTAAGCAAAAGACCTTACACGACGATCTTCATATCGAATTTATAAACAGAGTTATACAAATCAACAGTGTCAAACATTTTCATAAACTAGAACATCATTCAAATGCTATAGTCACTCAGCTTCTTGAGATACCAACTTCAAGATGACTGAAGAGATGCTGCTCAAAGATAATATGGAGACCCTTAGAATAACCACAACTTTATATGAACAGAATAGTAGAATTACTTATTGAAGTGATTCTCTAACTATCAATATAATATTCATCAGATTAATTTATATGTGTGTTTGAAAGTGTGTGTGTGTGTGTGCGAGTGACTGACTTAAGCCAAATAGCTCATAGAATCGTCCTGTATTCTGATTGCTATTGAAAATAAAATTAAAACTAGTGGGGTGGGTGGCATCGTGCCTTAAGGCAAATTGCTGGAACTTTCCGTACCGTAACGAAATGTTCGAGGATTACTGAATGATTTCAAATAGATTATTATAAATATTGTAACATTGTCTAATATTTATAAATAATATAAACTGAATTGCAGAGTTGAAATTATTTGTAACGTATATTGGAACTATAGTCAGAATTAAAAATAAATATTTTCGATATACAAAAAACTAAAAAAAAAAAAATAAAAAAAAAAAAAAAAAAAAATGGGGCAAATTTTTTTTATCCAAAATCGATTATTTTGTTAAGACAAGCAGAAAGTTCTTTGAATCATTTAAATCGGACGCTTAGTTCTCTCAAAAACTGCCATTTTTTACATATTTAGCTTTGTATCTTCAAAATGGCTGGGCCTGCCTTTGCCAAAAACTAATAAACACTTCTCCTAATCATTACTAATTGAATGTTTTTTAGATCATTCAAATCGGATACTCCGTTCTCTCAAAAATACGATTTCTATTTTCTGCACTCTTTGCTCCGTATCTCCGAAACGGCTGGACCTGCCTTTTCCAAAAAGTAATCATCTTTTTTCCCTATCAATAGGAATCGGATGTTTTTTGAACCATTCAAATCGGTTGATCCGTGCACCCTAGAACGTGACTGGAAATTTGTATCCACACATACATACATACACACACACACACACACACACACACACACACACACACACACACACACACATCCATTTTTTCTGAGGTATGACAAAACGTTCAGAAACCTTCAAAACGTCGAGAAATGTAAAAATTTTCAATTCCGATTTTCGGCCCACTACAATAACTTACCCTACGGGAAGTTAAAAAAAACTATCGTGGATGTCTAAAATTTCTTTTCGCTGATTTGGACCCCATGAAAGTTGTCATTGACCCCTGAGGGTCCATACTTTAGAAATCAATTATTTGGATGAAAATGTTTTATTCGCAACCCCCATAAGTTTACGTTACGCCTCTCACTCGCACGTATATGGAATTTTGCTTGTATGACGATGCAACGTATTTCTCCTTTGGCGTATCTCGAGAAACTCGTCGCTCGTAAGGCGAGGTACTGTACTTTGAAAATTTGGATATTGTTTTACAGCGATACGTCACAAAATCATTTGTTTTCAATTTTCAAATTCATGCCTAAACCCGATTTCACAATTAAAATAGATGTTTTCTTTGTTCTGCATATATAGCAATTTAAATTAAAGTAACTGTAATATAATGTTTGTATTTATAGAATAATATCCTAATCCCAAACATAAAAATTCGAAGTGGCATTGCGCTCGTTTTACAATATCGCCATCTGCACAGTCGATTCAAATCAACGTGTCTTATGACATGTTCGCGGTGCAAGGTGGTGATAATCTGCAAACTTGAACCACAACGTGTATTCATCTGCTGTTATTTGTTCTAGGTTCTAGTGAGCGCTTTCTTGACATTTCTGAGGGACAAAATTTCATAAGTTTAATAGTGATAACTTGAGAAGATGTCTTCTAAAGCTGTGAAAACTAATGTGACTGATAATGAGAACGCTTGTGTCGTCTGTTTTAAGACCGTCCAGATATATTCAGTGGGCGATTGCGATCACCCCGTTTGCTATGAATGCTCCACGAGAATGAGGGTGCTCTGCAAGCAAAATGAATGCCCCATTTGTCGGCAGGACATGACTAAGGTTTTTATTCAACGGAAGTTGTAGAATTTTAGGCTTAGTAGCATAAATAGAGAAGTATACACACATCGGTATTTTATGTAACTGACATAAATAGATTGACATTTGCCTGAACAGTTAAATGCTGTTTTAAGAATTTATTAACGAAATCTTCGTAATTATATTTTATTCGTGTCTAATATGTCACAAATTGCTTCAATCAATTTCTTTCGGGCTTACGAATCAACATATTGTATCAAGATTATTTTACATAACCTTCAAATTCTGCAAAGTTGCAAATATGGTGTAATTTATATAAGAACAACCATATGTGTATGAAAGCAACTGTGTATATTCATATATGCATATGTTTATATGAAATTTAAAATTGTATGTATATACATATATTATATATTATTTTTTCTGTGAAATTAAGAATCAAAACAGAACTATTAAGATAAAATATAAATTTTACCTGATCAAATATAAACTTTATAAAAAAAAAAAACAGTAAGTTATATATTATATATAATTATATAATTATGTAATTATTGTATATATTTATTATTGTGTATAAATTGCTTTTCATAATATTATACCAAAGAATTTATACATGCACACACACACATATATATATATATATTAGGGTGGTCCTTAAAATAGTCATTTTCGAATTTCCTTGCTCCCAGGGGCTCAAATGGTTCCAAATTGATAAAAAACAATTCTCTGAAAGTTTTAGCCCTTAATATTAACGTTTAGATAGAGCGCAATTCAATCAAAGTTTGTATGGAAAGAGCCTGGAAAAATTTTTGAAAATTAAAAAAAATGTTTTAAGTATAACTTAGCTACAAATGAATGAGTTTTATTCATTCATTTGTTCGCTAAATTACATTTAAAAAACATTTTTAAAATTTTTGAAAATTTTTTCATACTATTTCCATACAAAACTTTGATTGAATTGCGCTCTATCTAAACGTTAATATTAAGAGCTAAAATTTTCAGAGAATTTTTTTATCTATTTGGAACCATTTGAGCCCCTGGGAGCAAGGAAATTCGAAAATGACCATTTTAAGGACCACCCTATATATATATATATATATATATATATATATATATATATATATATGGAAGTATGTGAATTTGGTGTTGATATATATTTTGATTCGGGCAGTAATACCAAGTTAAAAAAACTAAAGCTGTTTAAAGGAGTTTATTTAGCATACATTTTGGTCTTCGTCAATACTGTCATTCAGTGAAACAACTGAAAGATTTTTATAAATAATGTAGAAGAAAAGTGAAAATTATAGGCTTATATATAAATTCTTATAGAAAAATTACACAAAAATACACTATACTATTACACAGTAATAATTGACCGAAACGTATGGTTGAATAAAGTTTTTTTTTTACAACCGCTTTAGTTTTGTTACTTGGCTCTACTGCCAGAATCAAAATAACTCAATATATATATATATATATATATATATATATATATATAACTATACTAACTATACTAATATATATAACTAACTAACTATATCTTTTTTATCCAGGTAATATTTACCAGAAATGTCCTGCCCTTCAAAAGTCTACAGAATTCAACAAATTTATTTGATAGGAAGTATCGCATCGCTTTTATGGAAAGTGACATACAGGCATCTTATAATGAGCTATTGGAACACAATTGTTTCAATGTAAAAAAGAAAATAAGGTAGCTAACTTTCGGACATTTGCACTGTTAAAAGATCACATGAGACGTGAGCATGAACTGCACTACCTGTGACCTCTGTGTAGAAAATTTGAAAGTAAGTTATTTCAAAAAATGTTATTTGCCAATATAGTCAAGCATACTATTTTAAATTTATTATCATTCATAACAGATCTTTTCTTATGAACGTAGAAGTTACACAAGATCAGAATTAGCACAGCATCGTAGAAAAGGGGACTCAGATGATAAGTCACATAAGTATGCATCTTTTAATTAAAAAAGTATTAGAGACGTATGCAATAATTTTGTAAATACATAAATACCACTATATTAAAATTACAAAATATAATTCATTACATGAGCTATTAATATCCAGAAATGTAATTGTGTAACCTTTAAACATGTTCAAAGGGGTCATCCACTATGTGAGTTTTGTGACCAACGGTACATGGATTCAGATGAAACTCTTTCGGCACTTACGGCGTGATCATTTATATTGCCATTTCTGCGATGCTGATGGATTTCACCACTATTACAGTTGGTTTTTACTAAATTTAATTATTTATTAAATTTCCATAGCTACTTTTCTTTTAGCTTTAGTAGCACTTGATACAATCAATGAATTTCCTATTTCATAATCTAAATTATTCTTATTCACACTTAGTATTTTATTATTGCAGCTCTTACGAATTTCTCAGGGAGCATTTTAGAAATGAGCACTATCTATGTGAAGAAGGCGATTGTTCTGATATAGAATTCACATCAGTATTAGGACAGAGATTGATCTTAAAGGTGAAATATTATAATCTAAATTTCATAGTTGGATTATTGAATGTTGTGTATTATATTTTGTAACAGTTGTGATTTCACAACAGCTCATAGGGCATCTGCTCACATTCGTACAATGGGTAAAGTGGCTGCAAAGCAAGCTAGAACTTTAGAGTTAGAGTTTACATTAGCGCCTAGGAGTAGAATGGAAAATAATGCCAGAACTCCACAACGGAAGTTCCAGAACGGGTAGAAGTAGTGCACAAGATGACAGGTAAGACAAAAAGACAAAACTTTGTTGGTAATGTTTATTGATAGTCCACATGAAAGCTTTATTTAATTTTACCTGAAAGACAAATTAATTCTCAGGTGGATTTATTTTTATGTACATTGTTGTTAATTCACAAATGATTGTGATATTTTTGGTTGTACTGAATTGTTATTAGTGTTAAGAAAATATTATAAACATCTCAAATTTATGATAACAACTCTTATTTGAATTGTATTTATATTACATAAAATATTAGAAGTGAAGGAGCCACGGTTACGACAGCGGTCAAAATGATCCTGGACCAAGTACAGATTATGCTGAACATATCAATAACTCTGTGAAACTAAGAGTAGATCCCTTAAATTCGGAGGATTTCCATCTTTGATTTCTGGAAATGGGACTAGTTCTTTAAATAGGTAGGTTGAAGCTAATTTCGCAAAGGTATAAAACAAATTTATTTCCAAATGTTCTTTCCTAATTATGAAAATAAAATTTTAATTTAGAACTTGCTCAATTATTATTCAGATGGCACAAGCATCTTAGTTGTACTATCCCTTTTTTTTAACCCTTTGCTTGTTATTACTATAATAGTTACAAAAAATATCTAATGCTTCGGCACTTACATTCATTCTGACTTAGGCATAATGTTCCAACACGAAATGTGAGATCTAGTTCAGGAGCACAAGCTCGTTCTAAAGAAGATTTTCCTGCCTTGGGTCCGCCTAGCTCTAGTTCTGAACCTGTATCAAATTCAGCACAATTCCGTTTAAGTGTTCAAGGAGGTCCATCCAGTGCTATCATACGTAATAGCAACAATAAACCAAACGTGTCGATACATGTGAGTAACAGAAGTAATGGCGCAGTAACAATACCCAACAAGGTTAAAAGTGCTTCTAGAGAAGATGACTTTCCTCAGTTGCAACCAGTCAATTATAAAATGCTAGGTGTGTCTCAGAAACATAGGTCGTTGGTTTCTGACAGTTATAATTCAGTTAGTAGTTCCGTTGCACCCTCTAAGGTAAGTGGTTTTTATATAATTGTTATAAAAATATTTTTAACGCTCAACCAAATACTAAACTTTGATGATTTTTTTTAATTCAGCCGCTTATCATAGGCTTATAATATTTTAGTTATGTTATTTCAGACTACTAAATCTATCCGTATACAAAGTTCCATAAAAATCATAAGAAAAAAATTAACATTTATTTAGAAAGAAATGATCAGGCCGATCTTTACCAGAAACTAATCAATACAATTCCTGACAAATATGTTTTTGAATCTTTAAATTGATTTAAGATTGTGGGCTAAAACGTGGATGAAAAATGTTACTTTTTTTTTTTGTTACAAAAAAACGGCTTGGTAAACGAATAAAGCAAAACTGACAAACACTAGCCCTTATTAATCTACATAATGTTTTTTATTTTTAAAATTGGTCCATACGTTTTTGAGAAAACGCCAAGGAAAGATAAAAATCGGCTCACACATATACACACACTTCTTCGAATTAGGTCTCATTCGATTCACATAAAATTAACAAATCGGATTTTTTCGCGAAAACAAACTTTTCCGGGGAAGTTGATGATGTGGATGGATTGTATATTTAAATGAAAAAAATAAAAGTAACTTTGTTCTTTATTTACATATATAATTAAATAATTAGGTGATGAAATAAGTATTTGTTACTTTTAGGTTTCATTAGTAAAAAAGGAGAGCAACAACAGCGTTTGTCACAGATGATTCCACAAAAAAAGTGTCAATTAATAGTGTGGGAGACTTCCCATCTTTAGGAAATAACTATTCAGAACCTCATCAGTCGAACCCTCAGTGGTTATCAAATAAGCCAAAAAAGCAATCAAAGGTAATCAATGCTGAAAACTTATATTCAAAGATTTTGTAATATCACTATAAATATCAATATAATTATAACATTTTCCAATAAAATTAAAACCAATGTAAAAATGTACCTTGCATTAAATTGAATATTTCACAGGTTGCCCCTGCTCCGTGTTACCAAAGTCGCAATGTCTCACTGATGCTTCTGCTTTCCCAACATTGAGCAGATCTGATCAAAAGAGTCAAGGCAATTATATGAGCTCGAGCCAAAGTAGTACAAATGAATTAAAAAACTCAAAAAATAAGAAGAAAAAGGCCATGCCAAATGATTCAAGTCGAAAAGAAAACATTGACAGAAGTAAAAGTGAGGCACCTGCTTATGAAACTGTCAAATCCAAAAAAGACAAAAGAAAGAGACTAAGAGATCAGAATTAACGATTGATTCCATTAATTCAAATCAAAATATTGCCAATAACTTTAGAAATAATTCTGACTCAATTAGTAGAAGTACAGATAGTATTTCTGCTCCACCAGGGTTTAAAGCTGCGCAAGGCCCTTCTCTCGCTAGTCGAATTAATCCACTCGATTTAGGATTTAGTTCTCAGGAAGCAAATAATTTAACCTTCATTAGCTCGAGTGGCCAAGCATACAATATTCTCCCTGGTAAGAATATATATATATATATATATTAATATATATGTTTATATATATAATATAATTCAAGAGGCCATTTTGGTCTATAATTTTTAAAAAGTCGATTTTGTATTTTCTTTGTGTACTTTCAATATTAGCTGTTCTATAATATATGTACAATAGGATTTTTCAAAATTTGAATTATTTTCAGAGACATAGCTGTTAAACTACTATAATCCTTCTGCTTCTCCGCCGCGAAACTTTAAACATGTTTTTCTCGAAACTTTGTTTTGCGATACGATACTCACGATTTTTCGAACAAACTTTAACGGACCAATTTACTTGAAATTTTTATAGACCGTTCTTTATAGAAGTCTCTTCAAGATGAACTAGGCTTATCTTCTAATTTCATTTTTTACTATATTAAAAAATGGAGAATATTAAAAACAGTTATAAAAAAACATAGTATTTATGAAAAAAACATTTTTTAACTTGTCCGCTGTTTATACAATGCTACTTTATTGTAGATCAATATATAATTCCTTCAGATTATTTGGAGGGCTGAAATTATGGGTATGGTCAGATACCAATTTCTTGAGACCCCCACCTTATCACTTTTTAGAACTGAATTTTTTTGGACAATTTTTAATTTTTTCTTTTTCTTTTATTTCAAAACATTCATTAATAATGTGTACAAAAAGAAAAAATTGTAAAAATTTATTGTATGCCGTTTCAGAAATCGCATAAAATTAATGCCTCCCTTAACACCGTGTAATATAAATTAGATGTGTTACTAGAAGAAATAAGAACTTTAATTTAGGTTTTGAAATATTCTTTGGCATGTTAAGTAATGAACCCATGGCTACTGAACCTTTTGAATAATGGTGTTCCTGTATGGCTAAAAAGTTTTGTGCTGGTGATTCTTAGCATGCTAAGCATGAAAACCATCGTCTGGTTTAATGCTAGATTTAAGCCCTGCACATCATGCTCGCCCGCGTTTGGAAATGCAAAAATTTGCTGAAAATAAACTTGTTCCTGTAAGCTTCAAATTTTATATGATTTTATATGATCATTGAGAAATTCAAAAATCAAATTGCCAGGTGATTTCAACCGGGCTGAAACCTGCCAGACTATGGTTGTCGTACTTAGCGTGATAAGAAACATCAGAACAAAATTTTTTATTCATACAGAAACACTGTTTTTCATAAGATTATATAATATGATTATGACTTATATTTATTTAATACAGGCAGTTATACTTATGCACAACCAAAGGGTTTCTCACATAGAAACAAAATTTTAGTGGAACGTTTTCAAGACACCCTCTGCTCATCACTTGCAATGGCAGACTTCCTTGAGGTATCCAAATTATTTAGGGAAGGAATTTTATCAGCGCAATCATTTTATGATCATTGCATTAAAGCTCTGGGCAAGGATTTGATGAAATCTTTCCAGAGTTGCTTGCTTTACTGCCCGATATCTGCAAGCAACAGGAATTATACTATATTTTATCCAAAGTGAAAAATCAAATGACAAGATTGAGATGTGTGCCACATGTCATCAAGTACTTTTGCGTGCCGATTTAAAGCATCATGTGTTGACCCACTCATTTGAAAATCACTTTCCGGTTTTAGGAAATGAAGTGCCTCTTTCAAACGTGTGGAAAAAATAATGTCCCAGTGAACTAATTAACTAATTACCAATTTTTCTGTTAACATGCATATACATATATGCATGGTATTTATATGCACATGTGCATATGAAAATCCCTTTTTGTTATTCCTAAAGATATTTTATGTAATTTTATAAAAGAATAAATGTAAAACAAATTATGTATTACAAAACAATCTATTTGTGGATTTATGAGGAATATAAATACAATTATTTCATTATGTGGCATTTTGTGTGAATTATTTATGAAGTATATCATGCCACCTTTCAGGTTTGCAATTTTGATTAATGCTGTTAGAGTAACAGTTTTCCACAAAAATGGCAACAAATATGAAAAATTTCATCAGTTGTGATAATGATTTTTCTACCATAGGAATATTTTGGGCTGTTTTACGACAGTAAATTATTTTATAGTTATTTATTTCAACTATATGTTAATTTTTTTTTTCAACTTCAAATATTTATTTTCATATCTCAGCCAGACGGGTGTCTGGTATGAGATACTATGAAACAATTTTCATATTTTATATATACATATCATTTGTCTATTTCATTATACAATAATATAATATTTATTATAATTAAAATATCTTTAAATATCTATTAAATCTTCTTTGTCTTCAATTTCTTTTAATATTTCTTTTGAAATTATTGCCGTCACTGGTATTCCTAATATCGATTGGCAGTTCATTATATATTTTACTTGCGCTCCATATCACATTTCCTTTTAATTTCTTCTTTCTATTATGTTCAATGTGAAAATTTTGTGTTGTTTAGTGTAGTGTTCATGTATATATTGATTTATGTCTATTGTTGTACTTGTTTTAATTCTGTTAGATTTCATTTTGTGTATTAATTTGCATTTCTCTATTTTAATTATGTTGTTTAGTAAATGAATATTAGTTTCGCTGTTTGTAAGTATTTGGTGGGTGTTAAATGTGGAAAATATGATATTTTTATGGCGTTGTTTACTGTTTTCTGTATGTCATTTAAGCTAGCTTTGTAGTTTGACTCCAAGTATTTATTCATATAAAATTATGGGTATCATATGCGCTTTAAAATCAGTAACTATTTTTTTTCCCAAAAGAGGGATCTTTTTCAAAGCTCCCGTTAATGCCGCTATCTTCCTTTTAATTTCATTTATATGTTTGTCCATGTTAGCTTTTCGTGTATTATAGGCCCAAGTATTTTATATATTCTACTTCTTCTATATCTGTATTATTTATTTAATGCTTATTTTATAATTTCTTTACATTAATAAATTGGTAGTAAGATTTACCCGTACAAATATATTGGGGAATATCTTAATGTTTTTTTAAAAATGGCAATGGCAAAATGGAGGATGGCAAGGATGTATGGGCCTAACATATTAATGTTTATTTATCTATGGGATGAGTATCAAACATCATAGATATGTACTTAGTTTAAACAGTAGTTGATAAGGGTATAACTCCAGCTAAATGCCATTTAATAATTTTTTATTTATTATTTATTATTTATTTTATTAATAATTCTGAGCTCTAACAGATTATAGATAAAACTAGTGGGGTGGGTGGCATCGTGTCTTAAGGCAAATTGCTGGAACTTCCCGTACCGTAACGAAATGTTCGAGGAATACTGAATGTTTTCAAATAGATTATTAAATATTGTAACATTGTCTAATATTTATAAGAATTATATAAACTGAATTGCAAAGTTGAAATTATTTGTTTAAAGTATATTAGAACTATAGTCAGAATTAAAAATAAAATCTGAATTATTTTCGATATAGAAAAAATTAAAAAAAAAAAAAAAAAAAAAAAAAATTGAAACAAATTTTTTTTTTTCCAAAATCAATTATTTTGTTTACAAGCAGAAAGTTTTTGAATCATTCAAATCGGACGCTTAGTTCTCTCAAAAACTACCATTTTTTACATATTTAGCTCCGTATCTTCGAAATGGCTGGGCCTGCCTTTGCCAAAAACTAATAAACACTTCTCCCAATCATTACTAATCGAATGTTTTTTAGATCATTCAAATCGGATACTCCGTCTCTCAAAAAGTCGATTTGTATTTTCTGCACTTTGCTCCGTATCCCGAAACGGCTGGACCTGCCTTTGCCAAAAACTAATCAGCTCTTTTCCCTATCGATAGGAATCGAATGTTTTTGAACCATTCAAATCGGTTGATCCGTGCGCCCGAAAACGTGACTGGAAATTTGTATCCATACATAAAATACACACACACACACACACTCACACATCCATTTTTTCTGAGGTATGCCAAAAACGTCAGAAACCTTCAAACGTCGAGAAATGTAAAAATTTTCAATTCCGATTTTCGGCCCATTACAATAACTTACCCTACGGGAAGTTAAAAAAAAACAAAAACTTGCAAAACAGTTCGAGCAGGGAGTAACTAAACACGTCTAACTCATTTTGAATGACAGAAAAAAAAACAAATTTTTTTAATATTCATAAAACTTAATAATAACCACAGTGCTGAAGAATTAATGGCATTTTAATGTAATTATGTGAGAAAAATTGCTTCAAGATGCGAGCGGGGTTACGAAACGTATGTCCGGGTAACACTGTATTATATTGTCTAGTATTATTGACAGAAAAGAATATTAGTAATTTTGATATCGTCCAGAATAACAATCCTAGTTAATTAAATATTAATATGTATATGATATCAAATGCAATCAAATGCTTACAAACACATGTGGTCATGCGTTTGACATGTGTGTCACGGTCACACATATGTCAAAATGACCAAAACATCAAAGTTAAACGTCAAAAAATGGGTTTAAGGTTTAGTATGCGCAGTACAAAGTTTAGTCCGAAAAATTATCAATTAAAACCTTAGTGATACAAGTATTATATAAATGAAAACATTTCTGTGCAATTATGTAGATAGATAAATAAAGCCGTAGTCGAAATCGCGATGTTTCGAAGTCGCAGTTGGTTTGGAGGTAACTGGGGCCGCCCTAGAAATCCGCATTCGTTAGACCACTTGAAATATCTTTATAGTGTTATGTCCAAAAATCCAAGTATTACGGAACACAATAGAGGTCTATTAGTTGAATCATTGCGTTGTATAGCTGAAATTCTATTTGGGGTGATCAAAATGATTCAACAGTGTTTGAGTGAGTATATCATTTTTCAATATAGTTTACTAATTGTAGCTCCAACTTGCAAACTTCAATTTACATTGAGTTATTAGTAATAACTATTGTTGGAAAAAATTAAAAATTTAAAAATTAAATTATTCTTTACATGGCACACTTTTTTATTCTTCTTAAGCAGTTACAGTAATTTTACTTCAGAATTGAATTTATTGTCATAATTTTTATTATATGGCTAATAATAATTTTCAGTTTCTTTCTGGAAAAGAATATGCTCTCATTTTTTCTGCGAATAATGCGACAGAAAAGTGGAGGATCGAGCTTTGTTGTGTCCAATTATTACAGACCTTAAATATTTTATTTGAGAACATTAGGAACGAAACTTCTCTATGTAAGTAAATTTAGACTATTTTCTGCAAATGATTATATTGCAAATAAACATTATCCTATTGTAATAATGTGATTCCTATATCATATTCTGATAAATAATATTGTATATTCAGGTACTTAAGTTAAAGCAAAGAAAACAGATATCAGAGAAAATATTGTACTTTTCTCAATCAAAAAAATACTGATGTGTAGCAGTTATCATGCTTTATGTATTTCTCAATATCTTATTTCTATTATTCAACACATTTAGCAAGATGTTCTCCTAATTAAAAATAGTTATTATTTTGCTGCTAAATATATATGTGATATTGCAAAATTAAATTAACATTTATTATTTTTATAGATTATCTCCTAAGCAATAATCATGTTAATTATAATTGTACATAAATTTGATTTTTCGATGATGAAGAAGTTATGGCGTATACATTTCATTTTTAAAAACATTGAGCTTGAAGTTAAATGGACATACCATACATTTTTTTTATAATGAGGTAAATAATACAATATCTTATATAATCATATTTGAAATGCTTCAATATTTATTTCAAGTTAATTATTTTAGCACACCAATGATTTTCCTCTGTACACAGAAGCAATAAAGTTTTTTTAATCATCCAGAATCAATGGTCAGAATAGCCGTGAGAACATTAACATTGAATGTGTACAGAGTTGATGATTCTAGTATGTTGACTTTTATTAGAGATAAGTATGTGTTTACTTAATCTGATAACTTTTTGCTAGAAAATGCATACATATTACTCTCATTAATTATACATAGTAGAGAAATTTGATTTATCTCATTACATTTCTAAACAATAACCAGAAAGATGTGAGATATTTCCAAAAACAATAAATTATTGTTTTATGTTTTATTTGAAAAGTACATTCTCATAATTAGATAGTATCAGGAAAGATATTTGTTCTTTCATAGTTAACTGAATCTAAAATCTATAAAGATTATAAATTACTCCACTTTCTATTCTAATTATTATGTTAGTTTGTTATTTGCTTTGCTTTAATCTATAGGTTCTAATACTCCCACTTATTTTTGCTTCAATTTTTAGGACTGCTGCCCCATACTTCAGTAATTTAGTGTGGTTTATCGGTAAACATATCTTAGAGCTTGATTCATGCGTCCGTAATGATTCAGAGTGAGTTTAATAAAAGATAGAAGTATAATTTTATACTACTCAGCATGAAACTAATTTTATTCTAAACTCTTAGTCATCTGTCACAGAACCGATTAGCAGACTTAGTGGCTGAACATTTGGATCATTTACATTACCTGAATGATATCTTATGCCTGGATATATCAGATTTAAATGCAGTATTGACAGAGCATCTATTACATAAG